GTCCGCCATAGCGAGTTCCACTGGTGTGATGGCCGTTTGCGGGAGTTAAAACACACCATTCTTTTGCAAGCCTATTCAGCCGAATGATTAATTATTAGAGACCCACCTTTTGTAAAATTTCAAACAACTAAGAGATTATATTTCGATCAGACACATGAACTAATAAGGTTTTATTGCTATACACAAGTTTGTTTTGTCTGAGCAAATGACTTCAGAAAGAATTTGAGCAGAAGAAAATTTACCTAAGAGCAGAACGGATCGTTCGTGCTTCTTGGCTATGGCTTTTGTCTGTTCAGTGGAGCCGAGACAGATATTATTGAGGATGAAAGAAGAGTGGTTTAAGAAAGAAAAGATTGAGGTGAAGAGAGGTCTGGAGAGAAAGAAAAGTGTCGTCTGCCTTTTGGTCAGCATCACGATGTCTATCGCATAGCGAGTCTAGAGAGCTGTCTATTTACTTTTGTCTTTGGATGCGAAGTGGCTATCCTAGTTTCTACGATGTGCGGCGGTTATTGGTTGAGATCTGTGCAATTCAGAATGCGTCAGATCATGCACCTTGCCTCTTTTCTGCACGGGCTTGGTGGACTTACTCGTTTTGGTCTTGATTGATTCTAGCGAGTAAGGATGGTCCACTGGGTTGGCTGATTCTGTGTGCGATGAGACTGTTGAACGGAGCGAATGATTAGTTCTGAGGATCATTCTGGACTGAGGAGAATCGGCTGCTTAAATACTCACGATTCTCCCGTGCGTCTCTTGTCATTGCTCTTGTTCTTGCTCGTGCTCATGCCGATGGGCTTGGTGTGGCTTCGTCCCCAGGGAGAGGTGAGGCTTGTCTGGCTGCTTGGATCTGAAACAAAGAGTTGTTGTGAGTTACATGTTCAGTACATTCTGGATGTTACATGTCTCGGCTTACTTTGTTTTGTCTTTTGGTTCTTGCAGCGTTTCGCCGATGTTTCAGCCTCTAGGGGCATATTCTGACACCTTTTATCTCTTTGACCTCGGAACCCATCAATTTGCTTTAGTGTTATCCAACTTAATTTTTTTAGAAGTCCATTTGAATCTGATGCATGCTCTATGCCTTACTTCATCGATGAAATTGAGTCCCCACTTCCTGCTGCAGGCGGCATCCTCTTGTTCACTCACACTTTGTTCTTTTTTCTACCCTGTAGTTTCAGCTAACTTCAGGTATCACCAACCCAGGTGGGTCCAGTCGGTAGGATTTTTCTCTTTTGGTCGAGGAGCTACTTGCTCAGATGGCCATTATTTCGGCCTTCGGTGATTCCGTATACTAATGATTGACAGTGGTCTGCAGACGATGCTGTTGCTCGCGATGCTGAGCCCCAAGAGCTGGACCGTAGAGCAGTAACCTTGGTGTACACTGTGATAGCAGCTTGGAGGCAAACTCCAATCGTACGATTGGAGCAGATGAACCTACTATGGCTTTGGCTGCTCCACGACGGCGAGCTTGGTGTAGCCTGGCAATTATAAAACACCCTCTGATGCCACCCGGTGCCTGTCATTCCCCACGCTTCCTCATGTTTCCCGGCACTGCCCACTCACGGCCACCTGCATTTTCCTCCATTGGGGTCCATTAAACCTGGTTCACTCACACTCAGACTCTCAGTACTTTTCTCTACAAGTCAGAAAAAAATCTGAAGCAGGGATAGCATTCCTCTTCATCTATAACATCTTGCTCACTATACTTCAAGCAACAAGTTGGGCAAAATAACAACTTACTAAATTACTCGAGGCAATGGTACAATCTTAGTTTCTCAAAGTCTTCCAAATGGAAACTAACGTTTTTACACTGGTAGACCGAAACAACAGTCAAGCTCTCACTCAAACTCAAAGGCAAGATTCTCTCAAGATTGTTAGTTTTCAGGGATAGCGATAGGATTGAGGGCTAGGGATAGGTCATAGGGTTGTGGATAGGTGTTAGGGACTGTTTTTTTTTAAAACAAAAAGTGTTGGAGGTCGTTTATCCAGGGACTAAAGGTGTGTGAGAAGTGTTTGGTTTGGATTATATTGGAATATTGGAAGAGTGCCCTTCGTTATGCAAACCATAACAAAATCCCTGCTCCTGCTGCCCAGGTACATAAGGTTACAACTTACCCAAACAACCATTTAAACAAAACGAACCAAGCAAGAATGAAATAAGGATGAGAATCAAAACAGAAGAGCGCAATGAAAAAGGAGAAAAGGAAAGAGTAAACAACATTTGAAAAAAAAGCGGGAAAACAACCTGTGTTTCATTCCTGGTTGGCGAGGGTACGTCGATGGGGGAACGAGAGGGAACGAGGCAATTTTCTCGTGTCCCTGACAAAGTTTGCCATTGGGATGCAATGACTAGATTCAATCATCAACAATATCAATGGTTCAAAAAAACCATACAAAAGTATTCCAGTTGAGAGCAAGCTCAGTCATCAATGTGGCCCTAGCGATTGAAGATGAAGAAGCTAAACGCTTCATTCAATTCGAATGTCAAAAATGGATGTCGGATGCTAAGTTGGAAGGGTGCCGTCCCGCAGGACCCTCCCCTCTCTCCCGTCGCCACAATCCAAAAAGTGTTTTATCACTCCGACCGGGGGGGAAGTTATAAGCGTCGGATGCTACGATGTGAATGAGGCTCAAGTGTTATGCTCAGCACTCTGGTATACTAGGAGACAAAATAGTCACCGAGGTAAAGAAGAAAAGGCAGTGCAATAGAACCCGGCCGATGAACGCAGTGAACACTTGACCTGGCTTTCTTGCTGGGTCCCTGAAGGCAGCTTTGTGGCCATAAAAGACGACCCAGTTGGAGCATCTCAAGTCTTCTCCATCACAGACTCAAACAATCGCATCTTTACGCAGCTTATTAGAACGAGATCGAATTCTTATTTTTGATAAATAGGATTTCAGAAGATATAACATATTGGCTCTGAACTTGTCATTTGTTCAAGTCCTCCAAAGCACCTCCATCTCAATTTAAAGCAGTCGCCCGTAACGTTCAAGTGTTGACCACGAGATCGATCTTCACCGACCCCCGATCAACTATTTCAAGATGATGCAGACTGGAGCTTTCGTGTTCGTCTTGTTGATGAGCTTGGTTTTCGATGCGTATGCAGCCTGCGCATCCAATCAGAGACTGGTTTGCAAGTATGACTGGCCAAAACGTAAGCGAACGGGTTCAACTTCAAATCGTTTGAATATCATAAGAGACTGAAGTTGTATGTACTCGGTTCCAGCCCCATCTACCAACGCAAATGACACCAAAAACTGTCCAAAAAATAAATTAGCTTGTTGCAACCTTTCTCCTTATGTAAGCCACACAGATATTTTAACTTTGGGTCTCAATAATCAGACACCAAGATAGCATTCATTCATGTTTTTCTTTTCTTTAGGCTGGGGGTGGGGCCATCTCGTTTGACACCTGCGTAGCTGCAAAGTAGATTGACAACTCCGCGGCGATACATCTATTTCCACGAAAATTGATTGCAAGTTGGCTTGTGGGAGTTCACAAGCACAGTATGTAATTTTCCTGATTTAAAGCACCAAATTGTTGATCATAAGATCAGGTTTAATCTCTATTAAAAATTTATTTTCTCGTGAATACATATACAGATCAAACTCATAAGGAGACTGTTTAGAAAAAAAAAAAAACAAAGAGGAGTGGGCGAGCCAAGATTAAATACCTGCCGAAGGATCAAATTGAGAACACGAGCTTATTCAGAGTACTTTCAGTGAGGCCCCTGGGGGTCTTATATATGAGGGGGCTTGATTACTACAAAAGAGCAAAGGATCAAACAAAGGAGGAGTGGCAGGGCAAGCCAACCGTTGGATTTTTGTTTTGCGATTGAATCCTACTTATCTTACATTAAAAGAATATAAATGGAGTGAAAAAAAGCTTCAAGTGCAAGCGCATCTAGGAAGAGATAAAAAACTGGAATTGAAGACGAGTGATTATTCATTGGGAGGCTAGTTTGGAGATCAGATGTCGGATCTCTCCTTCGGTCTTTTGATCCTTGTTTAGCTTAAGATCTCGAGCCATCAAGTGGGTGTTCTCAAGGCCGTGCTTCTCGATCAGTTTGAGTAACCAATTGGTTTGGTTTTCTGATAGATGTTGTTTCTTCTTTATCGTCTCGCTATATGTTGCCAATCGATTTGAGGATATCTTTTCTAGCTCTGGAGTATCATAGAACAAACACCATCACATTAACACAATTAACACAAATTGTGCAAAAAAGAAAAATTTAGAAAATCACTCACCTTCAACAAATTTGGTTTTGGGGGGACAAATCCTTGTCGTGGGTTTTGGTATCCGATACCTTGTAGTACAGGCGCAGGAGGATGATGAGTGACTGAAGGATCTTGCTCGTAACTAGGCGTGTCCAGTGGATTTCCCCAGGGAGTCGAGGTGGAAGGTTGAAGGTCGCGTTCGATGACAATCTTTGAAGGGTCTTCGGCAGTTGGCTCTAGCTCAATTTCTGATTCGTCTCCGATGATCACTTTGATGATTTTGCCGTCAGCATCTCGGATAATTCGCCCCTCGCCTTTAGATAGTTTCGGATCCCGGTTCACAGTAGTAGCTTGGTTCCCATCGTCGTCGGATTTTTCCGAATCATCTTCGTCCGTTTCTTGCTCATCGTTTTCATCCTCTTCATTGTCGACTACTTCACCATCACTTGTCGTCCTTAGGATTTCAAATTCATCCTTTTTCTTATATTTATTCAGCCAGATGTTCTGTAAGTCGGTGTTCTTCTCGATCCCACCAGCTAGTCTTGGAGCGAGTTTCCCGGATAGTAGTCCTAGGCGCTCGTAGTTCTGTCTCGGTGTTTGTCTGGGATTGTATGCATTGGATAATGGTCCGGGAAAGTTTCTTGGGGTGACTTTCTTTAGCTTGGAATTCGCAAACTTTGACAATCTTGCTTTCGGTGCTCCTGATCGTGATTTCCGTCTTTGTCTAGGGTTGGCCATGACTTGTTGAGTTGAGCTTGGTTGGGTTAAATGGAGCTATCTAGTTGCGTGTTGGTGACCAGCGAAAGTGAGTTGGACTGCCTGCCCCCTTGTCAGCAACCACACCATCGATATTGAATATGCAAAATACTTGGACCCCCTGACCTAACACAGTAACACTGATTGTCCATGAGGGCAAGAATGGTGACTTCTGAAACACAATCCTCTTCCAAAATAACTTGTGTTTGGAGTGATCAACCTGCTTGTGATTTGTTGCCTCCATCGAAGCTAGCTTTGTCTACATACAGTTTCCTACGGAAGCCCTGGACCGACACCAATCGCGCCAGCAGGTTTTGGCATCAGTTTTGGTTTTGGACATAGCGTTTCATCTTCGGTATCTGAAGACGACAGTTGGACTTCCCAACCTGGCATTTGGTGAAGAAAAAATAAATCCATACCCTGATAAAACACACAAAAAACGTTGGCCCAGAATTAATACGGCTATCAAGTTGAGCGGCTCTTGTTATAGCCCGGCCGACAAGCTAGAGATACTTGCACAACCCGCCCAGTTGAGGCTTACGGCAATGGGGCGCAATGGCCTTGGCAACCCTTTGGCTCCCATTGTGAGAGATGATATTGACAAGTCAGTTAAGCACCACTGACATATCCTGTGGTTGTGCAATCAGCTTAGATCCAATGCCTACAGCTGACAAGGAGCTGGATAGTTAGGGAGGAAGTGAACCTTGCTCGGTGAGGTCACCTATCCCGGTGCGGCTAATGTAAAAGGAACGTAGCTCAGAGGTTTATATCTTGTGTTTGCTCAGAATTTGCTTCTGTGCACGTTTGGTGGGTTCAAGCAACCAGGCAATGTTGGGAGAATGTCAACTAGTATTTACAACTGAACATGGTTGTTCTTTTTATAACAAACAGTCCGATGTATTTTTTTGACTGTTTCTGACAAAGCCAGCGCTAAGATTTGATGTTTGAATCAAATCTGCATGCTGCTCCACCGTATCGCAAACTGCTGAGGATGGCACAAGTAATTTGTGACATGGCCTTTGCAGGTTTGTTCCCTCAGACCCTTCTGTATATTTTCACATTTTTTTTTCATTCCGTGGCATACCTGTTTTTTGCACTCGGGTATTATGGCACCTGCTGTGACAGGCTTATCAGGAAAATCAGCAGGCAAAGCCTTGGGTATTAACCTACATGGGCCAAGTGGTATGGCAAGTTGAGATTTTTGCAACATGCTTGGCTGATGCCACTGGTCAAGTCATGGCCTTGTAACTCACAGAAAAGAGCATTCGACATGAGCTCAGGGATTTTACAAATTTGGTGTTCCTCAGATGCAGGAATCAGGGATTTGGGTCTCAACTAGATGCATTTCCCTCAGCTTCAACCGATCTGGATCCAAGCTCACTTAAACCAATCTCATTAAAAATTCAAGCTCATACTTTGGTTCGCCACTAATCATTCCCAACAATGGCTCAACTAGGATCCTTTGGGTCCTGATAGGATGCAATGATTTCTTTTTTTTTTTTGTCACAGATACAGAAGTTGAGAAAGTGTGGCCGGCAACAAATTCGGGGCAGCTATCGATCAAATCTGCCTGCAATTTTTCCATGTAGCTAGGAACAACATATAAAAGAAAAACACAAGATATACCACTTGGGCTGAATGTAGCCCGTGCTGGAAGGATGCAAAAACAGAGTGCATAGCTTATTGTCCACTCGATATACAACACACAACATAAAGCTCTTCATCTCGCTTACATGCCTAACGAGGTTGAATCAGCTGCCAATTTGGCTGCGGCCGTTCTTGCTCTAGTCATAGCAGCCTATCCTAGTTGAGTAAAATACCCATATCACCGTGTGATAAGTCTTACACCCACCAGCAAATATATTGATGCTTCGCTGTTGTTTGGAAATGGAAAGTTACAGAAGGGCACTCACTAAGTAGTGTTCTGGGTTCAGTGGCTTATGGGCCGGGCCATGACAAGAGCCGCTCAACTTGATAGCCGTATTAATTCTGAGCCAATGTTTTTTGTGTGTTTTATCAAAGTATGGCTTTATTTTTTCTTCATTTCGGAAGGTGTATGTACATATTCAAGTATTAAATGCCAGGTTGGGAAGTCCAACCGGAGCCTTCGGATACCAAAGATGAAACACTATGTCCCAAACCAAAACCAATGTCAAAAACTGCTGGCGCGATTGGTGTCGGTCCAGGGCTTCCGTAGTTTCCATGGCGCTGTCTTGAGATTTATCGGCCAAACTTAGGTCGAATTGTAGATTCAACTATTGCTCTTGACACACCAGTATTGTTCTTCTTAACAATGTAGAAAACTACCAGTAAACAGTGCACTGTATGTTTTTTTTTTGTTTTTTAAAATTTTAGACTCTAAACACCATTTGCTGCACATATAAAATAAGAATGAGAGGACAGAAGACAAAAATTCACAATGTGCACAAACATTGGAACACTTCTACAAATAATACATAAGAAAACACTAATAAAACCTCAAAAAATAACAAATAGGGTCTACTATTACAGAACACTTGGCAACAGAGTTTTACTGTAGCAGGTAGAGGAAAAAGAAACCAAGGCCAATTAGAATTTGGGATAGGTTTATGGGGATGTTGGGAGGTGAACTCACGTGGTAGGTTTTAAGATCAACTCAGCTGCTTTTTCAGCAATTGCGTAGATTGTGAGTGCTGGGTGAGCTCCAATTTGAATCGGAATCACACTGCGATTCAAAGATTCAAACATTAGTAAGAGAAAAAAAAAGGTAGACGGTTATGGGAAAAAAACAATATACCTAGCATCCACAATTCTCAAATTTTGGGTACCGTACACCTTAAGTTGAGGGTCGACAACACCGGCTTGACTCTTGGGCATCATTGCGCAAGTACCGAGAGGGTGATCTGTCAGAGCGATAACAAGCGTTAGCTCTAATCCAAAGAATTCTGGCGAGAAAAAAGAAGACTTACATTCAGTTCTAACACGGTTTTTAACGCTTACTAGCCATTCCGCATCAGATTGGACGGATGGGCCTGGGAAGTGCTCATTCAGGATCACCTTCTTGTACTGCGGTTGTTCCATAATCTTTCGGGCGTGTTTGGCAGCTTTGACCATTAACCATGCATCGAAGGGGTGAGACAAGAAACCTGATACCACCAGCTAATGTTAGCTCAAAGTCTTACTCAGTACGCGATATGACAAATGCTCACCTGGATCAATGAGAGGCGCTTGGGAAGGATCTTGACCATGGATATGCGATGATCCTCGAGATAGAGGATGTTGGAGTGTGGTAGCAATGGTCAAGCTAAATAATAATAAAATGATTTGATTAACTGGGAGCCCGCCAAGCGGCGATGAGAAGTGAAGCTTACTAAGAGGTATTTGGGTCCGGAAGGTTGTGCGACTCCTGATAGTGGTGAGTATACAAATGTCAAATCAGTTGCCAGTTGAATCCAAAGGGTGCTCAGAGCAGAAATTACTCACAAAGAAGGCATTAATCAACAAGAATTCGACGGCAACTCCGTTTAGGATTCGGTCAGTGATAGCGTGGAACTGCTCTTCTGACATAGTGCTTGGTTCATGTTTGAGAAGCTTCATTCCTTCAAGTAATTCTTCGGGGGTGACGATTGACTTTAAGGTTTGATAATCTAAGAGGGAGATTCCATGGCTGAGAAGACCACCACCTGTCGTCATATACAGAGAGGTTTGTTCTCCAGCGAAGGTTGCGTTCCTCAAGAGGTCATCAGACGATACGATCCCGGACTTGAGCCGGTAAGTTCCTAAAAGAGCCGGATGGTCGGCAAGGTTGGCGCCTACAGCTGGGAGATCAAGGGCCACTGGGATCTTCAAGTCTTGCAAAATGCTTGATTTCCCAATGCCACTTCTTTCGAGAATTGCTGGAGTGCCAATAGACCCGGCACTCATGACGACTTCCTTGTTGACCATCGCACGAGACACCGTTCCAAGGCTAGAATATTCGACTCCGACAATTTGAAGGGCTTGTCCCTCAGTCTTCTTGCTAATAAGTTTGTTCACCTCAGCATCAGTTCGTACCACCAGATTGGGACGGGCCTGGTTGGGGAAATCTGAAGCAAAGTTATAACATTGTCAATACGGGGGAAAAGAGGAAGTGCTCTGCAAATAGAAACAAATCAACAAACAGTATGCAGTGGCACTGGTCACTCGGGCGCTGTGAGCATCGATAGCTGAAGGGAATATGTAAGCTCCCTCTAAATCACCGCCGAATGGGTCGGTGGTTTCGATAGCTCGCTCAGCAACGGATGCCATGCTCGCGGCAGAGAAGTAAGGCTCGAATTGGGGTGGAACATATTTTGGGAATGAGCTAGCGACTGGACCGGAGAGCCCATGATAGAGCGGGTTATAAAGGTAAGGCGAATCCGGTGGTGGAATGACGAGGTGCTCGCTCTTCTTTGATGCACGGTCAATCTCAGACCATCCCCTGTAGAAAAAAGAAATTGAGTGTCAGCTTCAGCAGAAAGGGGAAGTTCAACCTGAAGTGGACAAACCATCCCGGGTTGCCCAGTTTCTCAATGGCGTTGTAATCGTTCTTCTCGGCCTTGGTACTGATAAGAAAGTTGATAGCTGACGAGCCACCAAGAACCTGAAACAGATTCACGTTAGGGCGACTGGAAACTAGAGCATGTATAGCTATGGCACTCACTTTTCCTCGAGGATAATAGACTTGGCGTTCGTTGGCGCCTGCTTGAGGAATTGTGGAATACTTCCAATCAATGTCCGTACCAAGGGTAGTTCCTGGAAGAGCTTGAGTATTAGCTGCTGATCATACGTGAACGAATAACTTGGTAGAAAATGACTGACCTACTAATCCGGGTATACTTATGCCGGTGTTGTTAATGCCTGTGCCACCAGCCTAAAATGAAGAACATCCTGAGTTAGGACTACACGTCTAGGTCAAAATGGAAGTAGCAGACTCATTACCTCGAGTACGAGAACCGTCAACGATGGGTCTTCGGACAGGCGAGATGCTACAGCCATGCCTGTGGTGAAAGAGAATTAGCTCGAGTACAAATCAGCGAGTAAAAATTTTTGGCGTACCTGCCTGACCACCACCAACGACGATATAATCAAACATCTCGGGCATTGTTGCCGTGTTAGATCCGTGGGGGAGGAGGGCCAGAAAGAAGAGGCTAAAGATTTTGCAGCCATGGTCGAGCATGTTGGAGGCTGTTGGAGGAGGATAATGAAGGCCGACTATAATTCTCCGCTAAAGGTAGAGGTAGATATCAATTGAACGAATCAAGACAAGAATTGAGCACGAGGACAGAAGATACTTGTAAACGGAAGAGGATGGATAGATTGTTAGATGCCGAGGATAAGGATGCTTCTACTTCGGGAGAAAGCCATGCGTTTAAATAGTCTAGCTCTAAGCAGTGTGGTGTGATACGGGCGCCCGGTGTCAGTGAGTAGAATGGAACCTTTGATGAATTCCATCTCCCCCCCAGGCTTTACACTTACAGCGAGTGCCTGCATTCTCAAATGAGCTGGTCAGAAAGGTTAGCCTAAGTATCAGGGTGTTATTCTGCCTGGGGCACGGCCTGTCCTGACAAGATAGCAGTCGCCGGGATGAACAAACAGGCCGATAGCGATTCAGAACCTACACTAGCTGGACCTTCAAAAAATAACCTCACCTGGAGGAACCACTAAAGCAATCATGCCATTATAAGCGTATCAGTATGCAGCCACCGCACTCCACCATACATAGGCAAGCAGATAGCAATTGATGTAAGGAAATATGGAAGTGGTTAGATTTCATACTTTCATGCCATGATTGGTAAGTGGAGCATATCGCAGATGGAAAGAACTTGTTCCTCTTTTTTTTTTGTAAATATTCAATTGTAGTCCGATTGGATGCGTCTTCTTTGAGCAGTAAAACTCCAACTATGAGGTGTCGCTAATTCCTAGCTGAATTCATCATGAATTTGAATCTTCGCAACGATCGTTCCAAGGGGCATGAGCATGAATAACCTGGGCAGCACCAAACATCCAAATATTTACACCTCTGGCGCGCTTTTGTTTCTCCGGCAAAGATGGTCTTCCCTCCACCCGAATTGTGATTTTAAACGGATTTTCATCTTGAAATTTCTGAATGTTTCTATTTAAATTCTCGAGAGGCTTTGCATCAAGTGAGATCGTGTGCGAGGGGACATTCAACCCCCTGTCCCAAGCTTCTGCCATGAAGTCAGGAATTAATCATCGGATAAACAGCCGGTCCGGTATTGGAGTCTAAAATAGGCAGAACCAAACATTCATAGGTGTCTCTGATTGGGCAGCAACATAATCCAACCCGTAAGACCCCGCAAAGAATTACAATATAAGACTCCACCGGGGAAGAAATTGCCAGCCTTGGAATAACATTCTTCGAATCTTCTGTGACAGAACTAATTGACGGCATGAAATTCCTCGAAAATAATTTGTGGTGTTTGTTTACAAACAATCATCAAGGAGACGCAACCTGATGCAACAGTCTGAGTTTGTGCAATTCACAGCGCAACCCTTCCAATTCAACTGAACCTGGGGGCTCGAAATGCCCGGCTTGCGTTGAGATGGTTTATTGAATTAAAACCTAGAGAACGTTTGCCGCTTGAGATTATGATAGCTGTACGTATCTCTAAATAATTCTATCAACTCTCAAGGGTGAATGAAGTTGTGTGTAATGCTTAAAAAAGGGTTTCTTCTAAATCCAAAGGGAAATAATTCCCATATGAGCAAAGACTGAGATCTTTGAAGCACTTGCAATTACCTCAAATGCATCATTTTGCTTCTTTCACCCCTACTTCTCAGATGTCTTATCCCAATTGAATTTTCAGGGGCTGTGTCTGATTGAAACTTTTCACTGTAAATTCAAGTCTCCAGTATTCAAGCATCAATCTTTGGTTTTAAATGAAATTATTAGTACATGACAGAGTATAAGAGTGGAAAATCTCAGGGAGCCATATGTGTTTCCAAATTAACCTGTTGCTGTGGTGCACTGTTCATTCAATTCCCTCATGTTTGAACTTTGGGCTTCTGGTCAAGACTCTCCAACCAATTCACTCCAGTAATGATTTATTGAGGGCACAACACCCCACAAAGAATCAACCAACACCTGATGTCAGGTCACATTCAGAAACAACTGGTTCTGCTTGGTTCCAGCTGTTGTGGTAATATCAAGTTAAAAATAATGTAATTTCCCCTTGGGCTGGTAGAGTATTGAGCTCATGGGTAGCTGGGGCCCGGGGGGTAGCTAGTTCAAACTGACTAAATTTTTCCTGGTGATAAAATATAAATTCTGGCACCTTCAAGCCACATTTTATGGATTACATTACCATAAATACCAGTATTTGGTCAGACATGATTACATTGCATGTATCTTCCACACTCTAAGCAAGCTTCCTAAACAATTGACCATGAAATATATTTTTCCAAATCTACAACCCGAAACAAAAAAAAGGGAAATTGTGGAAAGAAAAATCTACCATGCTGAACTGTCATATGCAATTTCAATCAGGTTCATCACTCTCTTTCTCTGTGTTTTTGATTCAGATAATATTTTATTGATTAAACCCAGAAAGCAAAGAGCATTCATCTCATAATTATCAGAACGACTGCTTTCCCTGATAGATTCTGCATGCTTGTATGAAATAATGTGAGTGTATTTAGCAATTAGATATAGCTCTTGTATAGCCTCCTCCTTGGATTTTTGCTTTCGGTAAATATAATGAGATCTACCTTTTTCTTCCACATATGGGTTTCTAACAATGTATTAAAGATAATGCTCAATCTTTCCTATTTCATCAATGAATTGAAGGCTGGATTTCATCAAATTGAGTTTGGCCTTGAAGAGAAAGTCTTCTTGTACAATTTCCAAAACTATTTCTCCATAGTTTTCTTCAACAAACAGAAAGGTTAAGAATGAGAATACCATTCTTGTACATTCATATATTACATTGGTATATTGCATGATGTAAATTTTCAAATGATTAAGGATGTGTTTGATTTTTTCATAATTCTGATCATTGTATTCAGTTCCTTGGCCTTTCAAGTGCAATTCCCCTTTTTTTAGATTGTATTGTTCCAATTTTTGAAATAGATTGTCATATTGAAATATTAGGTTTGCCAAAACCTTTCTTTCATCATCATAACCTTGATTTAATTGTCTTTTGATCTGAATATCATAAAACAATTTGTAGTTCAAATATGAAAGATATCTCCTTTCATCATCTTCAAGTTCTGTGAGGAGATTACCAAAAAAGTGTAAATAAAATTATTCATCAAGAATCATTAGTCAAGGAAAAAAAATTAATAATTTGATTTGAGTGATGTTTACCTTTGAACAGAGTTTTGAAATGGGATGTATAGCAGCTTCCAATAATTGAATTTGAGGTTACATAGCTTGGAAACAATGCTCCATTATCATATTTAATCAGATTGAGCACAATCATATTGAAAGAAGAGATTTCAAGGGTGCCTTTTGTTTTGTAAAATCCAATGAAATCTTCTTTTTTCATCAAATCATTACTGTACATGTAATCAATGATTTGAAATATGACCCTTTGTAACATTAATGATGTCTGGGTTATCTTTGAATTTAAAATATGTTCTGGATCCTTTACAACAATTGAATCAATTTGATTTAATGATCTGTTCAATCTTTGCAACAAACTCTTCATAATAATTGTTTCACGTAAATGTTCTGGAAGATCTGTTCCCTCAGAACTTATCTTTGGATCATCCTTCATTTTGATATTTGGCAATTTTTGATGATCTGTTGAAAATTGGTTGCTTCCAGATTCTGTAGGACTTGAATGAAAATTCTCTTTTTGCATTTCACTTGGGAAGATTTTCTGTTTTGGGTCAAGAACATCCAGGATGGAACTCAAATGTTTAAAATTTTCTTTCAAGAAATTAGTGTATTGTGGGTACTCCTTCAATACTTCATCTACATCTTCATCAAACCAAAAACTACTCAAGCCCTCCCTCAAAGATTTAAAATTATTATGAATTGAAATTTTTGGTGCTGTGTAAATTCCTAGTTAACCACAGTTTTTTTTTCTCAAGTCCGCACATTGAGAAAAAGACTTACTTGTTTTTTGCTTCTCAGGGGTATGCTGAACAAGCTGAAAGTCTGGAATTGCAATTCCAGTTGAGTGTTGCTTGTTGAAATGAGGATTTTGTGAAACATATACCTGAACTTCTTTTTCATCTTCTGACATATTAGGAAGCCTGGGAACACAATCAGGGAAGTGAATTTCAATATTCATGGCACTCCATGGAGTTGTTATCCTTTCTTCTGGAACTAAGAGTACAGGGGTTTCATTGGAATGAGAGGATGGAATTCAAAATTAGAAATTATTTTAAAAATTATCAGAAAGAAAAGGCTAGATAAATACCACCAATGGAGCCCATGCATTTTTTTGATTGCAAAAGATGCAAAACCAGAATCTCTATCCACAACAAGAACAGAGTCATTGTGTGGTGTGATGAAATAAATTAAACAGAAAGGGTCTGTGATAGCGCAGTGTCCTTTGTGGAAGGATATATTGAATCAGTAATGCAATGTGAGGAAACAAACCTGAGAAAAAAAGAGAGAAGATGATAAAGAGAGACTCAATACCTTGGACAGAACAATTCAGTTTGTGAAATGATGAGCAGAGGCATACTTCCACATGTGCAGGCCAGTTATGGCACAGGAATTGGTGACATTTCTGTGAAAGAGAAATACATTCAAAACTCTCTAAACACATGCCCCTTGGTGGATAGAATTTGACATGTGGTTTGGCCACTTATGTGGTTACAATTTTTAGTATGGGGTTTTATGTCCTTATCTGGATATGGGGTTAGAAAGGTTTGACTACACAGGTATGAAGTGTCTATCATTATTAGGAAAGACTGTGATTCAAACAACATTGATAAGAGAAAAACTTAATCTGAAAGAAATGTTACACAAGAAAAGTATAAAGCATATTTGTGGGTGGTGAGCCTTTGTGGAGACTTTGAAGTTATAGATACTGTATACATGAATCATGAGACTGTTCAGTAACAACAGATCTTTACTTCAAGAATGAAATGCTCCAAATCACAAAATGACCCCATTGTGCTGCTAGACAGATCAGATGGCAAGATATCCAAAACTCATCTGTATGGCATGTGCATACCTTGGGTCTTCTGGGAGCAACCAGGTGATCAGCTCCAAACCTGTTGGATTTTTGGTTGGATGTTCTTGATGGGATGCATGATACTGTCAATCCAACTAAAAATCAGAGTTAGTGCAACACAAACTGATTTTATAATGATTTTATGAAATCAAGGGTTGAACTTTTCTTGAGCTCAAATGCAGGCTTTGCTCAACTGATGCACACCAAAAAGTAGATTCAAGGTGAAAAATTGTCATTTTCACAAGTAGATATAAATTCTTGAGAACACAACAAGGAAAGTTGAACGGAGGGACATCTGTACAAGAAGCAGGCATTTCTGGGTCCAGAAGGAAATCAAACAGATGTGGATAAAGAAGAGGCTAGAGAAGAAGATACACAAAAAATGGGTTTTCAGGTGAAATCTGAAATCTTTCCATACAGGACTTGAAACTTAAGTTTAGGCCTTCACTGGAGTGGACAGCTTCTCTGCTTGCTACCACTCCTACCACAAAGGCCCAGCTTGGGGAAAGAAGTGTTCATAGGCAAATGAATTAGATGGGAGGGGAAATCACTACAATATAAAGGGTTCAACTCAGTCAATAGGCAATCATGGACCATGTTGGATGGTTGGAGTGAGTCTCAATGAAACCTAGGGATCATTAACAGAGGTTGAAAGCCGAAGGTTTGTGAAATTCGTTTTGCAACTGTAGAGTACAAGGGACTATCCTGTGTCAGACACTGAGACACTTTCCCAGGTGTCTACCATAGAATGTAACCCCCTTGGGTTACATAGTAAATATAATTATATGTAATCTTTAAGTAAATAATTATACAGTAATGTTATTCTTTTTTACATGTATTATTTATGTTAATAAATATTGTGTAAATTAATAAAGAGTTACCTCTTTATCAATTTACCTCTTTCATGAAAATAATATCCAAGTTGAAAATGATAATTATCTCTTGGGTGTATCCAAGAGATGATTATCCTGTTTATCTCTCTTGTGTGTATGATTATTAATAATTATGTTTATCTCTCTTATGTGTATTCTCTGAAACAAAAGATATTCAGCATATGTACATTTAGCATGCTCTGAATATCCTGACAATTTCCCCCAAGGAATAGTGTAACAATAAGGGGACTGCACCGGTCCCAGCAGCAGTTTGACCCCTGCTCTGTAATATTTAAGGGGATGACTCTTTCCCTGAGATTCATCCCCCAGACAATTATTACCATCAGGGGGTTCAGATCAGACACAGGAGTAGATAAAAGGCAGAAATGCTGCCCGTGAAACCATGGGGTTGACGAATTTATCTGTGTTTAATATATTAACTGCCACACATGGGCCGCAGCACCCAGCCATCCCACAAAAAGCGCGTCCAATTATAAGGACCCAAAAGCTGTCCGATTATAGGTATCATCACATCCACCCAAGGATGAGGCTGGCTTTGGGCCCCAGTCTGTCTCGCTCAAAGTGGCTAAATCCCTCTGACATCATCTTGGAGATCCTCAAGGATATCAGCACCGCCCCAGCAAACCTTCACACGTCTCTATCAATCAGGCAAGTTCAGCACCCCGTTCTAAAACATTGGTGTATTCCCAACAGTTGGTCTTGTTAGTCGTTCAAGGCATGGAATGTTGAAAATAAGCCAATGCAATCTATAACAGAGTGGTGTATTGAGCGCTGGAATTGACTGAGTGATAGAGATGTGGGGAAACGTTTTGTTGGATGGTGCGGATGTTCTTGA